CCTTCTGCTAGCTTATTTAGCCCAGCAATCAGTGAATTTTATTTTGTGTTTATGGAAGGTTGTTTATATTTTGATTATTATTGCTATTGTTATAAACAACCTGCATGAGAAGTTTTTTTTTTTTTTTTTTTTTTTTTTTTTGGAAAAAAAGAGAAAGCCTTTTATCCTACAGTCCATTCGAGCCTATCGAACAATGAGATGTACTGGTAACTAGGCAAGGTGTTTACATGAATGGTAAAGGCTGTATTGACATTCATTTTAATGCCATTTATGATATCCATGTCTTTTGATTTGCACAAAGGAAGCAAAGCTGTTATTATGGGAATTATTTCATCATGTTGTCTTTAGGAAAAAGTAACTCCTGTTCTGTTCTGGTCTGTTGCTTTATACGACCTGTATACACCCCTGCCCCCTTTATAGTGCATTGCGATGCGTTACAGTCATAAGATGTATTGCTGTTTTCTCTTGCCTGTCCCACTCTCATGCAGACTCCGTTAACTTTTGTAAAGCTCTCAATTTCTTAAATTATTGGAAATGTTTTACTTGCTGGATATATTAAAAAAAAAAAATTTAAAAATTAAAAAAAATTTGCTTGTATGTAACTTCAAATGGTACAGCAGCCAACAGCAGAATGGACAATGGAGCTGAACATTATTATTATAATTATTTTAAAAACGCAAGCATTTCTGTTCTTGTGTATGACCAGTAACCTTATTTTACTGTGTAAAGATGGTTACATTTTTCTTTTAGCTTTGTTTTGTCTCAAACCCAAATATGCTTGTTTCAATATTGTATAACAACCTTGTGATACTTTTCAATTGTATATGTGTTACACAGGCTCTTTTTTAATTTCTTCTAACAGTGTCTTGTACAATGTTTTTGAAGTTTTTGCTCTAAAGTTTCATTTTAGGTCTTTTTTTTTTTTTTTTTTTTTTTTTTTTTTTTTTTAAGATATACACCTTTTTTTTTTCTTTTTTTTTTTTTCCCCCCCCCCCCCCCCCGTCTTTTCTTACCACTTGCTGAAGTATCAATGGTGATTTTGTGAAATGGTCAGATTTAATTTTCTTGTGCTAAATGTATTTGGGTAAATTTAAAAGGTCACTGCTCCTTGTCTCGCTGATACGATGTTTATATATAAATAATATATAAATATATATGTTATCTGGCATGTGCACGACGTTGTTGGTAGAAGCCACTTTATAATTTCCTCTGCTTCAAATAGAAATGTCTATTTATTAATTATGCTTGTAGTTTTTCACAAATAAAATGGTTACATTTATTTAATTCATGATGGGCTTCAGGCTTCAAGTTTTTTTTTTTTTTTTCTTTCCCCCCCCAGTCCATTATAAAAAAATGTATCATACCAAATAAGGTAATAGGATAACTGCATGCTGACCTTTTTTATTATTATAAAAACTGTCATTTAGCTTAAACACCACAATACCATCCAAATGCAACGCCACCGCGGCACACTACTGGGCCTGCAGTCGGGGGCCTGCAGTCGGAAGCCAGCAGTGTTACGCCGGAAGTTACGTCGCCGCTGTATTAGGCGCAAGTTTCGTCGCTGCGGTTTCAGAACGGCAAATTCCTAATCTTGTATGGCACTATTGTAACCTATGAACCGAGTAGAAAATTATAGTATACTACATTATTGTATTGTTTTACTATATTATACATTATAGAGAGTGGAAAATGGTATTATACGGATAGCTGTTACTGCTGTTCAAAACAGTCCTGTAGAAAAGTTTTGAAAGTCAGTTTCGTTCCTTTTTAAGATACAGCATGCATATAAATCTAAATTTAGTGAACGTGTAAACTTTTTTTTTTTTATCGGATGCAATTCTAAGAACAAAGACAGGTCCATCTACAGCCCATAATTAGAAGCATAGCTGTTATGCACAAATGGAAAGACCATAAAATAATATTAAAAACCTAGGTCAAAAATGTCTTCCTCTAATAAACCTGCTCTTTGGAGTACTTTAGAAAATGATTGTCAGTAATCAGTTCCTTAAAACTTCCCTATATCCAAGATAAAAATCTACCTCACAAAGTATTAGCTGTTAATTAGTCTGAAATGAATGTTCATAAAGGTTACACAAAGTCCAGCTTTTAGCTTGTTTTTGTAGAAAAACCTGAACCAATTAAATGGAAGTGCCTGTAGGA